TTACTAATAAAATATTATCTGCGCAGAGTACAAACTGATCTAGAAGATCCAAAGATTTCAATATTGAGCGGTTGCCCAGAGGAAGGTCCTATAAACGTCGTAATTCTTTCATTAACCGGTCGTGCTTCACCTCATCTGCACAACGGAGTGCTGCATGTGGGAGATGAAAACACATATGTGAGTAATTTCCTTTATTTTCCTTCTCTAAGCTTGATCTTTTACTTTCCTATATAAATGTCAAGGCTGTGCCGCAATGGGGTGTCCTTGCGAGGAGTGAAGTAGGCTTTCTGGTGCACGAGGGTGATGGACAATTGAGCAAGCAACCAGGTTCTCGTTTGAAAACTCCGAATTTGCCGATTTGGGTTACTCTCTGCCATGGTCATCATGGTGTTCTGTTCAATATCAACCGTGAATTACTTCGAAATTATCATGCTGAACGACGGTATACCATTGATTTTCCTTTTGTTTTGAAAAATTTGTCTAAACATATATAGTTATTGTGATAATAGTAATTTTAAATTCAATAATAATGTAATTTTAACATATTTAGTATATTTTGGTATAATATTTTATAATTTTTTGTATATTCTTTTATAATTTTAGTACAATACAGTACAATATAATTCTCCATTAAAATATTTTAATAGAAGAAATAAATATAAATAATTTTTACAGAAAAGGAGTATTCAAAGAGATACACGAATAAATTCATATTTTTGTGATTACAATCAAACAAATGAAATTTAAATATAATGAAAATTTGTTTTATACATTTTATAGACCTAAAAACTCGCAGCCCATTAATTGCATTACATTGGACATACAATTTTCTTCACTTTTTCATCGTTTATTTTTACAAGTTTCGAGATTCAATACTTTACATGCGGCGGCAGCCATGCCATTTTAACCGTGGACACCAGGTCGAATTCCGGAAATGATTCAGAATTCGAGGGCCCGAGTAAAGAATCCACGGACATCGCTGCGACTCCCTTGGAAAAACTTATTCGTTCCAAGTGAGTAATTACTACACTTTTAGGCTGTGATACTCACGAAAATATTTGAAGAAAATTTCTGTGAATATTGTATGTTGTGAGTGTTGTGCAAAAATTTTTGAAACCTCATTGTTTGCTTAATGGCAAAATTTGAAATCAATTTTCAAATACATATAAATATTTACTGTATAAAAATATTTACTTAATAAAATATTAAGTAAATAAAAAACTTAATAAAAACTTAATAAATTTATTAATACTTAATAAAATTATTAAGCAAATATTTACTTAATAAAAAAACACCTGTTGTTAGTATATTTGTTTTAAATAAAATAGTTCCATTAAATATATATTCCATTAAGTATAATTGATAATTGATAATAATTTAAATTATTTTTTTTACAGGTGGCAAGATGCTTGCATACAATGGAACGGAACACCCTTAATGTGAATGTGTCTCTATAATCAATCAATTAATCAATCACTGTGTATTTCTGTAAATTTAGATTAAATTAACAGAACTTTTTTCTGTTTAGATCGTAGCAGATTGTATGTACGTATAGTTACATATCTTTGTAAAAATTTCTGTGCTTCGAAAGAAAAGAGATTATTATTATGGTTTTCTTGTACCTTTTATTTTTGTTTCAAATAAGAAGATGCTCCTACGATATTACTCAAAAATTCCATGAAACAGATATCGACGTTTCGTGCATTGAACAAACATTCCTGAACACGCGATCGCGTGAAACTCAACGCCTTCTCAATCACTTCGCGATAAATTCCTCTCTATAAAATCTTGCATTCTTTTCGTTCACTAAAAATTTGATGTTGTAAACTCAGATGTAAATCACAATGAACGAATTCTATATTCTTTAATCGAGGGTGAAGTTAATCACCCTTCTTCCAGGTAATTTAATCAATAACTAAATTGGTCCCTACAGAACATTTATAATATTCGTGTTCCTTTAAATACATGAAATTTATAGATGTACATATATAAACTCTCGTAGTCAACAATTGTTTTATTACACTTTTAAAGGATTAAAATATTTACTTCTTTTTTTTCTCTTTCCATCAGACAATGGCAATCACAATAATCACCCAAACAAACACACTGAAACCAAATCAGACACAATTATCCCTTTCAAAGAAACATCCAGCAATTAAAAGTATACGCTATACGAGCAGAATTGAAGGAACAACAGGTTTGTGCCCCATAACTCTATCACTATTCTAATCATTCTCCTAGACACGGAATTTTCGGCTTTCACGAGAGCAAAAGAAGAAAAAGGGAGGAGTTTTATGCACAGTGGCGGACACGTAGTCGTCGAATTTCCTGCCAACGAAAGTAAACACCTGTTCGAAGCAGGGCCAGGAAGGCGCTCGGTTGGTCGTCGATTCCCCCCTTCCTAACAATGGTGAACCGACTTCCCGAGTGCCGGTCTACCGCGTCTCTTTGCTCGTCCGTGTTTCGTAGTAGCGAGTTCTGCCGGTCGAAAAGGGACAGGTGCTAGTTCCGAAGTATTCTTCGTACTCGCGTATTAACGCTGATATTCAACTAAAAATTAATATTAAAATTACCAAGTCTGAATTTATGGCTTTTTAAACGTGAAAATTAACATTAACGTAAAATAAAGTAAAACGTAACGTGATATATTTACAAAAATATTGAAACCGATGGAGCCTGATAGAAAACTAATGTACCATATTCAGAGAGATTAATATCAAAACCGACAAGGTTTAATTGGATTATGGTTCTTCGAACACAAAGAGTAATGTTAAAATAATAAAAAAGATAATATAAAAATAATATAACGTATCTAAAAAAGTATTAAGATCAAACTTCAAACGTGAAAAGCGAGAAAACAAGGACGAACACAGGGTGAGAGAATTCGAGGAGCCTCCCTTCGACGTTTATCACCGTGTGTTTTTCACACGTAGCGCGCAGTTTGAATTTTCTTTAAAACATTCACACGCCATTGCGATATAAACCGTTTGCAATAATCGTTCGAAGAATAAGACGCGACTTGTGTGTTCGTTTCGTGATGTTTTCGAGAAACTTTGATCTGTTGGTGACGAATCGATTCGATCGAATGAAAAATTGAACTGAATGATGTTGACGACAAAGAGTAGGAATAAAGTGAATTGTTAGTGAACAACGATGATGATTTGAAAGGAATGTTCGCTGCCGGTCGTTGATACGCGAAACAGACGAGACGGAACTGGAAGCTTGAGTGGTGAAGAGTGAAATAGTGCCACTGCTGATTCTGATCGTCTAATAGGATTCTTGTGGTGAGTGGATAGAGCTTGTGCAGAGGGTATGAATGATGAAGCAGCTCGAAAGTTAGACTAATTGCTCGATTGTTTCCAATACAAAGCCAGACTAATTAAATGGGGCAGGATTGTTTATTACAGATCGACGCATGCAGAATGCCATTTCCTTTTTCAAATAAAATCTTAATCGCGCGTAGCTTCTTGAAAACATCCAATCCAATTCAAATAGTTTACATTTTTCATAGCAGGAGAATTACAAGAATTATTAATTTTAACATAAAATCTCTCCTCGGTTGCACCAAAACGGTGTATAAAACATCTTAATTGAAGAATGTGGAATAAATTGACAAGTATATTTAAAATACCATATTAAAACTTATTATAATTCATTTTTCGACGATTACTCAGCGCTGAAAATCACATGACACCTCTTCTTCTGATGATTATTAATTTTTTTCGTTTTCTAAAGTAAAAGTAGGATTGAAATATAAAAATTTGAAGATCATCGTAGCAGAATCAAGATAACTATCCATATTAGTGTATTCTAATATTAAACTAAATTATTAACAAAAGTCAAATTAAAGAGAAGTACTTGTTTACCAAAGTTTTATAATTCAATAATTTAAATAACTTTTTATAATAATTTGGTGTCATTAAAAAAAAATACTTTAATACAAATAATTACATTACAAATAATTTAATAATTTAATTTTATAAACAAAATATTTTTCTTCATTTTTACAAATAATTTTACGATTTTTGACAATTTAAAAGTTTTCCTATTCTTACGATAGGAAAACGTTTTTCTCGTTTTGACGTTAGAACAAACAAATAGGGAGAAGCACACTAATACGGACAGCCACCCTAATTATGAAAAATATTTTACTTGCTCCGGTTGTGATCGGAAAAAATCGATACGTTTCCGTACTTTCGATCACGAAAGTGGCCGGTGGAACGAGAGTATTTAGAAGCATGGACAGAACAACAACATATAGTGATTCATCGAGCTGTTCCTTGAGCTGTTCCAACATCGAATCGGTGGCATCGCGAATCGTGACCAAGAGGGAGGACTTTACGCCGGTTGCCCGTGGCAGTGCGTTTCAGGTTACGGTCGGTGAATTTGAGGAGTACAGAGTGGCCCACATAACCGTCGTATCCGGCTCGTGTATATCGTATAAATCATTTGGCCCTAGGACGGATCCATTTTTCCATCGGTTTCGAGGATTATTTCCGCCCACTTTCTCGAGCAGTTGCTTTTACCGCTCCGTTCCAACCGACAGGAAACGTGATTGCCGATTTGAACGACGATACGTCGATTTATATAGAGTCGCCGTGATCATTGTAATTCTTAATGATTAATTCCAATTCCTTGAAGGTCCTAATTGATGATTCTAGAATTAGTGGCTATTAGTGAAGAATGCAAAGATGAATAGATCTTTTAAATAGATTGACAATTTTGTAGATTGCATTTCGCGCAGAATATTAGTTTCTTGTTTGATTGTGTTGCATACAATTTTTCAAGTGATGGATTTCAATTTTATACGTAATTTATAATTATATGTACAATCAACCTTAATAATTACTCCTTGTCGATGATTTTCTCAAATAGCCTTCAATTTCTTGACTGTTTTCAAATTGATATCTCTAAAATTATTATATTTGGGGATGATAATGACAAACCTTTTTATTTCAAGTTAAATGGATCATTCAGAGATTTGAATAACTTTTTCGAAAATATATAAATTATCATATTGCAAATTTTTTGCTCCTTGCACTTTAATTTCACAGATTTCATACATATTTTTCATAATTCTAATGATAAAAAAAAAATTAGGTCTCTATAATTAACAGGAACTTTGAATGTTCTAAGAAAAATGTAAAGATAAATGATTTTATTCAAACTCAAATTAACAACTACATAGAACGTATATATCGAAGTAAAGAATTTACTTTTTAATTTTTACTCTTGTCTTTTACTAAAATTCTATCAAGCAATTCATTGAACTTCGAATTTAATTAAAAAAAAAAAAATAAACTGAAAATCTTTCTTTCGTCCAACGTATTGTATTCCATTCAACTTTCTTCCTCGCAAAAGTGTTTAATTATCCTCCGTTGCCAATTACATAAATTTTCTTGCAACGCGTTCAACTTCCTGTTTAATTGTTATTCGTTTCAAAACGTGGTTCTGTGAAAAGAGAAATAAGGCGCCGAAATAAGGCGGAACGAAACAAGAAAAAATGCTGAGTCGGTAGGAAGTGGTAATCGCAATTCTCAAGCTGCCGTGAACTTTTTGCAATCAGCGAGCCTACTTTTACCTCCGCGATTCGATTCACTTTGCCCTTCTTTGGTTCCGAACACGGAGGATCGACAAACTATCGCTCTCGCCAACCCCGCTCGCCATATTAATGTTGTTCTATGTATCTAGGCTCACGTAATAAAGCAGTTTCTTCGCATGCTTTCTAACCACGCGTTATGTTCCCCTGTTGCGAATGCATTGATCGTTTCTTTTTTTTTTTATTTCTTTTCTTTTAATTTTATTTTTTCACCCCTTTCACTCAGGGATTCGACATCGGTCAAATGTTTGTGCCCCCTTTTCGTTTATGAGAGACTGTCTATAGTCACGCTATTTGCGAAAAACAAATCTTGATTGATATTGGGATTAAAGCGTGAAATTTATAGCGAAGAAATCGAAATGAATAAGTAAATCGATAAATAAATGATGTATGTTGTCAGGATTTTTGGGTACTTAAAATTGCCAAAAGTCTACAAAATTCAATGAGATGCATGACTGCATTCAATATACGTAATAATTAATAATTATTATCATTTATACAAATTGTAAATAAGTATTATCATACAAATTATTTATACTTTTGTGTTATTTAAATTGTTATTTAAACTTTAATATTTATCATTTAATATTTAATAGATATTATTGATCGAGTTGGCGAACTTTTTGAATTGAATTGAACTTCTTGAATTCCAAGAAATATTTTCAATATTTCCTGTGTCGCATTCCTAGTCTTATATACATTTCCATTGCAACATCGTCGCTGGTTCGCTCAAGCAGCAAAATTTTCGCATTCGTAGTCTTCGATTTCCAGATTCGCTTCAGCCTATAACTTTCAAGCTGTTTGTATATACGCTCACATTCATTTTTGCAACATCAAATAGCATGTAATCATTTCAAATTTCGCATCAATTTGCAGATGCATCGGCCGTTGCCTGGATCGGTGAAGGATGTCCTTGGATCGCCATGAGACACAACATTCTGAAGATCCTGCCTGTCCTCTGTTGCACGTTGCATTTACACGTTGGACAATGTGGGTTTTCTTCCGAGTTCTTCTCACGCCAGCCGCTTCCTCCCCTTTCGTCCTTTTCTGCTCCGTAATTCGTTCGCTGTCCCTCCCCCCCCC